AATAAAAAAAAATGCAACTCTTATCCATTAAACAGACATGAAACGTCGAATATAAATTTTGTTTATATAAACAAGAAAGTTGACCAAAACACAAGATTCTATTTGATTTATTAAATGGCAGTAGACACTAACTTGCACACGCACACGTGCGTGAATGAATGATTTTGTTACCGTCCCATTTTCTTTAATAAAAAAATCTTACTCCTTATCAGCCCATTTTCTTTTCAAAAGCAACTCCTCGCTTCCCATTTTTTAAAGAAATCTTACCCCTTACCGTACCATTTTCTCCAGAAGCAACCCCTCGCTTACCATCTTCGCCGCTACGAACAAGGCCGCAACCGCCAGGAGCTGCAGGCAGTCTTGGGCGAGCGGCGTCACCACGAGGAACCGGTCTGCCAGGTTCACCGCCAGGAACACCGTCTCTGGGCCGAACTGGAGCTGGTGGTTCACTTTAATCAGCCAGTGGACCAAAGTGCAGCGCATGTACTCGGTTACCTGAAAGGAATGGTAGGTAGTGGTAGCTGGTTGGTGGGTGCATTGTGGAGGGTGGGGGGAGGGAGAGTGTGAAGGAGGGAGGGAGGGGAGGGAAGGAGAGAAGGAGAGAAGGAGAGAAGGAGGGGAGGGAGGGGAAGGAAGGAGAGAAGGAGGGGAGGGGAGGGGAGAGAGAGAGAGAGAGAGAGGGAGGCCAAAGGGGGAGGAAGAGGAAATGGAATATAGGGAATAAAAATAACAAAGGTAAACTGATAAAAATAAAACAAAACGTAAAGACCATAAAAGAACAAACACACACACACGCACACACCACTTACCTGGGGCTGATCCGCCATGCAGTTATACGGATGGTAGTGTTCCTCCATCGCCTTCTTGATCGCATATATATCGTCGGCGTACTGATACCCAAGCACCGTGTCGAGGGACGTGAAGACGGAGCTCCCCCCGGCAGCGTCCCCTTCAAGAGGCGCGGCGTCGTCTGTGAAATCTTGGTCCAACAGGGAATCGGCACCCAGGGACGACCGTCGGCAGGTCTTGTCATATACAAGGTCCTCATGCTGTTGAAGGACCCGTACTGTGTTGATTTGTGTGAGGCGTCGTGGGTTATTGAATGAGAACGAGGTTGTTGGTAACTTGTAACTGATTTTGATTAATGCTACTTATGATTTGTGATGATGATGCTATTGATAACTGGCG